TCTCCCCCTCTTCACATTGAGTCACTGGCAGGCGGCGGTCTCGCCGAGCCCGGCCGCGTCGGCGCCCATGCGCTGCTCCAGGCTGGCCGCCGTCGGCGCCCTCTCGCTCTTCACCCTGGCGACGGTGCTTGAGGGCGGTGTTGGGGGGGGGCTTGGCGCGTACAGTCAGGACGCTGAACTAGGGAACGCTTCGGATTCAGAAGGGGGGTCGCTGATCGCTTCTGGCCTGGTTTCTCTGGCGCTTATCGTGCACCCAAGTGCTTTCGGGGCACAACGTGGGCCTCGTTCTTTAGTCATTCAGCGCTCCTTCTGGTAGAGCTCTTGACAGCCTGACTGTGCTTTTACACGTGGGCCACGAATCAGGCCTTGCCCGCCTTGCTCTGGACATTTCAGGCCTCCCCGACCCTGGCTGCCTTTGCCTCGTTCTTGCCCCTCGGGGCTCGTCCGGGGTGGGCCCCTCGTTGCCACGGCTGGACTCGCTCTGGAGCCCTGGTCGGGTCGCGCCCAGGGAGAGGCCCGGGGAGCCTTGGGAGGCCTCCTGTGAGTGGCACCGCAACGGGTACTCGCAACGGGTATTTGGAAGATATGCCGAAAGTTACCACTTTTGGGCTTCTTTCTGACATTGCAGCGTTGCCCAGATCGGCGGGGGTTGGCTTCGCCGGGTCACTGGCCAAAGTATCTGTCAGGGGAGTCCCCGTTAGAGGGGCGCTGATCCTGGGGGGGATTTTCTCTGGATCGTCTTGGGGCGTCTCGGGTGGGTTCTGTAGCCACTCCGGGCTCCTCCTGGGGCCGTCAGGTCGCCCTGCGCAGCGCTTTCGGCTCGTGCTCGAGGCGCGCCCGAGGACGCCCCAGGAGGCCCAGAAGCCTCAGCGGTGCCTTCTTGATCTCCCCTGCAGGTGTGGCACCTGTGGGCAGCGCTGGACGGGCACGCGTCCGCGCCGCATCCCAGCGCCGCCGGGCTGTTCCATGCGCTGGTGGAGCGGCCAGTCGTGGAGAGGGTGGTGCCACAGGATGCGGTGGGCCCGCATCCGAAGATCTTCACCCTCTGGGAGTACCCTGACGGCCCAGACCCGTTCATTCAGCTGAACTTGCAGACCTGGAAGGCCCATGCACCCCCGGGGGCGAAGATAGTGCTTGTCAATGACTCCAACATCCGCCGCATCGTCCCAGACACGCCTGACGAATATTTCCGGCTGCCCTACCCTGGCGCGAAGGCCGACGCGGTGAAGGCCGGCGTGCTGTATCACCACGGGGGCCTGTACATGGACGCAGACTTCTTAGTCATGGGCTCCCTCGACAGCGTCTTCGAGAAACTGCAGGAAGGCTGGGACGTGGTCACGTACACCGACGAGTCTGGGCACAGCGGATCGTGCTTCAACGAATCGCATTCCTCGAACTTCCTCGCGGCACGGCGCGGCAACGCGTTCAGCCGAACGTGGTGGCAGAACATCAAGAGGAAGCTGAGCCGCGTCTGCGCAGCCGGCGAGTTCGCCCTGGAGAAGGTCTGCTGCCACGAGGCTTTTGCTCCCGAGCCAGAGAAGCGGGAGTGCCACGTCCCCTGGGGCCACCTCGAGTGGCTGAAGCACCCGCACAAGGACGCCGACGCCAGGGGCCCGCCGAAGCAAGCCCTGGCCCAGCCGAAGGGTGGCCCCGAGGCTTCGGGCTGCGCACAGACAGCCCCGCCAGGTATGGAAGAAGAGAAAACGCCATAAAACATAAACTTTTGGCGCTCCGCGGGGATTTCTGGGATCCGCGATGGGGGCCCCCTCCGGGCGGCGCTGGAGGCGCCGCCCCTGGCGCGCTCCGCGCGCCAGAGAGGGGGGGCCCAGCGCAGATTCAAGAAATCGGCGCGGAGCGCCAAAAGTTGATGTTTCTGCTGTTTTTTCTTCGTGGGATTTGGGCCGTGTCTTAGGTTTACGTCGCGTGATCTGCTTGTGGCCTGGGCCCACCGTGGCCAGAAGAGCCCCTTTGCTCCTCCTCTGGCGTTCCTTCTGGTGGTACCTCGACTGCAGCCCCAGGGCGGCTCCCACGGGCCCCCCGAGCAGCCCCACGGGCGGTCTCAAAGAGCACCCCGGCGCGCCGCCTCCCGCGGCTCCCCCCCCCCCTGGGGTGCTCCGCTCTCCCCGGGGTCAGGGTGTCGAGACGCCCCGGACTGCTCGGGGTGCCTGCCGAGGCGCACTGCTCGCAGGAGGGAGAATGCTCGCAGGAGGGAGAAAGCACACAGAGGCAATGAATCGCGTCGACTCCCAGGAAGATGTGCAAACATATGGGAAGTGGGGGGAAGGCAGAAATCCAAAACATATGGGACAATATGGTGAGTCCTGTTATTAGTGCGTAAGCGTGTGTGTGTGTGTGTGTGTGTGTGTGTGTGTGTGTGTGTGTGTGTGTGTGTGTGTGTGTGTGTGTGTGTGTGTGTCCCAGGGCCCCGTCATACTCGGGAGGCCCGTTGAGGCCAGCTGAGGCCGCGGGGGAGGGGCGCCTGTGCGCAACCCGCAGCCTTACCAGGCGGACATGGACCCCAAGGCGGCCGCGGCGGTGCATGCCAAGGTCGACCGGGGCAACGTGCGGGCCCTGAGGATGCCGGGGGCCGTGCGCACCTTCTGCTTCCGGGGCGAGGAGGGCATGGCGCCCACCCCCGGGGGCGAGGTCTACTGGCAGCCCTGGGATGCGCTGCTGAAGCGCACGGACGGCAGCGCGGCCGGCCGGCAGTACGACGCGTCGTTCTCCTGCCAGGAGCCGAGGGGGCCAGCAGCACGGCACGCGCAACCGCGATGTCTCGGCTGCAGTCTGCGACAACAGACTCGTGGCAGCACCCTTGGAGCCCAGCGGTTGTTCTCCGCTCTCCTTCCTCCCCCTCCCCACCCCCAACGAGAACAGGACTTCTCGGACCTCCGGGCAAATGTCTTGGATCGTCTCTGGGCCCCCCCCCCCCCCCTGGCGGCGCCTCGGGCGCAGCCCCTGGCGCCCTCCAGGGCCGATCCAAGGAATCCGCGCGGAGCTTTGCGAAATGATGCTTGCGCTTTTCCCTGTGTCCGCAAGGAGGTCGACCGCGGGAACCTCGAGTGCTCCAGCGGCAGTTGGGGCAAACATCACGTGGTGTCAGGGGAGGAAGAGAAGCGCCCCGACCTCCATCCTTACGCTTGCCGAGCCGCCCTGGGCGGTCGCGCAGGAGCCTCGTCCCTCGAGGCGCTCGCTGGTTGGAGGGCCTCGCCTGCTGGGGCTGCTTCCTCAGAGAGTGGCCATTGCTGTGCTGCCCTCTGCAGCGTTTTGTGGGGGAAGCCTGGAGGCCTTGCGCGGCGCGCAGTGTTTGTATCGTCCAGTCCGCACGTCCGCTCCGTGAGAGATCAGGGTCGGCGTTCGCCCGGCGATGCTCCGACGTACAGTGGGGGCCCACGCCAAGACACACCCTGCTTGCCTCCGGGGTGCCCTGTGTTTCTTGGATTTCGATGGTTTGCCATGGAAAGCGTGACGTCCTACACCAAGAATCAATGGACATCCTGGGGTTTCAGGGTTGGGTTTCTCGTGGAGTGTTTCTTGTGGTCGAGTAATCCGACGTGTTCCCGACGTGAATCCAACGTGGATCCAGATCCGACAGAGGTTGGGTCCCACGTTGCCGCGCGAGGTCTCCAGGATTCTCCCCACAAGGTGTTCAAGCGCTTCTTCCAGCGCGTTGCCCACCACCTCTTCTTCACGATTCGGCGCGAGGAGGCCTCGTCGATGCAGGAGGTCCTGCGCTCGAGCTGGCTCATCAGCGCCATGTACCGCCAGAGCCTCGTCGGGCAGCTGGCGGCGCCGACGACCGCCGAGCGGGAGAGGGCCGCCGACGACGGGGCGGCGGAGGCCTCCCCAGACGCGGCAGACGACGGTGCTCGAAGAAAAGAAAGCCCAGACCTCCGACGAGACAGCCAAGGCGCTGAAACAGAAGGGCCCGTTCGGGGCTCGGGCGGGGCTCGGGCTCTCGGGGCCCTCTTCGGGCTGCTGCCGTGGAGCCCGTGGGCGGCCCGGGCCGGCCGTGGCCGGCTAAGAGCCCCTTCGTTCCCTGCTGCAGCGGGGGCGCGCATCAAGAATCCGTCTGCTTTTCGTCAGGGCACCCTGAGGAGGAGGAGGAGGAGGAGGAGGAGGAGGAGGAGGAGGAGGAGGAGGAGGAGGAGGAGGGGTGTCTTTGCTCCGCGCGCTGCGCGGTGACTTTCCGCAGCCTTGGAAGCAGCCGCTGCGTTCTCAGGGCGCTCTGGGTTTGCCCTCCGGTGCACCTCGCGCGCGGGGTTTCAGCGTCGGGCTTCCTGCGGGGGGTCTCCTGCGGCCGCGCCCGCACGGTATGCGCTTCTGATGGCAGCACGATGGCCGCACGAGTGTTCCATCTGGTCGAGTTCCCCTTGACCTCGGCCGCGGGGGCCCGTGCAAGGGACCCAGGGCCATGAAAAGCGGGTCCGGGGCGCAGGACTGCTCCCTTTTGGGGCCGCGGATGGATTTCACAACCAGCAGAAAGAAGAAAACTTGTCGGAGGATGTCAGGGAATCTGCATAAGCAGAAAGTCCCGGAGGTGCGTGCGGATTCTCGGAGCGTCGCTGCAGCGCAGGATCCTTCTCGCGGCTCCCCATCCCCTCCTGGGCCATGGTGTCGCAGCCCTGCCGGGCCCCGCGACATCCGAGAGGAACATACGCACGCCCACCCCGAGGGGTGAATCGATCAGTTCGGGCCGGACGAAAGGGGGGGATTGGGAAAGGGGGGTTACGAAATCTGCTGCATGCAGCTGGTTTCGGCCCCACCGAGGGGCCCATTCCTCGACACGTAGCCGCCTCCAGCTCCGGGAGGCGCGTGGAAGATCAGCTGCGTGAGCTGATTCTCAAGCTCCCCTTTTGCCATCCCCCCCTTCCGCCCGGCCCGATCAGTGGTGTCAAGGGCCCAGGCATGCCAGTGGGAATGGGGATCTGTGAAGCCATGTCCAGGAACACCACCTGGCGGCGCCTCCGGCGCCGCACGTGCCGCGCTCCGTGCGCCAGGGGGGGCTGTCAGGGGCCCCCAGACGGTGTAGTGGCCACACGTCATGGTGAGGCAGAGGGATTCGAGGTCACAGCATGGTGTTGGGACTCGGGCCGTTCTCCGAGGATGTCTCGGGCGGCGGGGGCCTCCGAGGTCTCCAAACCGTGCGGTTCCAGCGCCGATCGAGAAAGATCCGCGCCGGCCTCCGACAGTTCATGCTTATGCTTGCGGTTATTCCTTCCAGGGGACGCAGCAGCCGCCGTCAGCGCGAAAGCGTTGGAGGCCGAGCGGAGGGCGGTACAGGAGGCGCTTCAGGAGGTTCGGGTCGGCCGAGAAGGGGGTATCGGCAACGGTGGGGGCAAGACATCTGCTCATGCATCTGGTTCTCCGGCTCCGCTGCCGGGCGCCTGCCTCGATGCACTGGCGCCTCTGGCGCCGGGAGGCGCCCGGAACCACCTGCGTGGTCTGATTCGCTACCCCCACCCCCTGTGCTATAACCCATGAGGGAAAACACACACACACACACACACGCACGCACACACGCACGCACGCACGCACGCACGCACGCACGCACGCACACACACACACACACATTCACACACACAGACACACACACACACTCACACACACAATCACACACACACGCACACACACGCACACGCACCCACCCACACACCCACACACCCACGCACCCACGCACCCACGCACGCAGCACGCACGCACGCACGCACGCACGCACGCACGCACGCACGCACGCATGCACGCACACACACACACACACGCAGACACAATTCATCGTCGATTCCCCAGAAAATATGCGAAGTGGGGTGGAAGACAGAACCCCAGGAAACATAGGAAAGCACGGGCAATCCTGTTATTTGTGCGTATTGATTTGTGTGTCCCAGGGCCCCTTCAATAACCCCCTCTCGCCTGCCCCGAGAGGTTCCGCCCGCGAAGTACAAGATCTTCACCTTCTGGGACTACCCGAACGGGGCGGACCCGTACGTGGTCCTGAACGTGGAGACGTGGAGGGCGAACGCCCCGCCGGGCACAGAGGTGGTGCTCGTCAACGACTCCAACATCCGCGGCCTGGTCCCGGACCTCGTCGACGAGTGGTACCGCCTGCCCTATCCAGCGTGCAAGTCGGACTTCGTCCGCTCCGCGGTGCTGCACCACCATGGGGGCCTGTACATGGACGCCGACTTTCTGGTCCTGGAGTCCCTCGACCCTGTGTTCGCGAAGCTCGATGAGGGCTGGGACGTCGTCACCTACAGCGACGGTGCAGGCACGAGCGGGGAGTGCCAGAAGTCATCGCAGTTCTCCTCGAACTTCCTCGCGGTGCGGAAGGGCAATCCGTTCAGCAGCACGTGGTGGGAGAACATGAAGCACAAGCTGACCCGCACGTGCGGGGAGCACGAGATGGACGTGGAGAAGGTGTGCTGCCACGAGGCCTTCAACCCCAGCTCGGAGAAGAAGCCCTGCCACATCCCCTGGGGCCACCTGGAGTGGCTGAAGCAGCCGCACAGGGACTCGGATGCGCGCGGGGCGCCGCAGCTGGATCCGACCAGGTTCAAGGGAAAGGGGCGGTCCCCCCAGGATCCGGGGCGGCCCAGGACGGGTCCCGAGGCGGAGGACGTGCTCAAGGCCGTAGAGCTCGGGAATCGGGAGGCGAAGCAGCTGCCCCCGGGAACGAAGCTGTGGTGCCTGCGCGGGGAGGACGGCTTCACCCCGCACACGAACGGCGAGGTCTACTGGCAGGGTTGGGACCATGCCCTGCAGAGAACAGACCGTTCCAAGGACGACAAGTCGGTGTACGACGTCAGGTTCGACTGCCAGGAGGTGGGCGACAGGGACCTGGACTGCAAGACGGGGAACTGGGGCAGCCGGCACAAGCTGATCCCCAAGTTCTTCGGGCGCATCGCCTACCACCTCTTCTTCTCGACGCGCCGGGTCGTGAAGCAGACGCGCGAGGAGATCTTCGAGGCACAGTGGATCCTCAGCGAGCTCTACCGCCGCGCCCTGAGGAATATGGAGGCGAAGTCCCGGGCCAGGCCAGCGCTGGCGGCGGCGGACGCGGCCCCCGCAGGGCGACCCGCTGCCCGCTCGCCGCCGGGCACTTACAAGATCTGGACGTTCTGGGACTACAACCCGCGCAGCGTGGACCCGCTCGTGCAGCTGAACCTGGAGTCCTGGAAAAAGCACGCGCCCCCGGGCACGGAGGTGGTGCTGGTGAACAAGTCCAACATCCGGCAGCTGGTCCCGGACCTCGGAGAAGGCAGATCATCATAGGCGTGAGCTCGGGGAGGTCCGCGCGCAGATCTTAGGTCGGCGCCGGACCCCCGCGGAGAGGGGTCCAGCGCCGACCCGAGAGGTCCGCGCGGGTCTGCGACAGTTTCTGTCTGTGCCGATGTTTCTTCTTCCAGGACTGCCCCGAGGAGTTCTTCCGACTGCCCTACCCAGCCTGCAAGTCGGATTTCGTCCGGGCGTCGGTGCTGTCACACCACGGTGGCCTGTACATGGACGCCGACTTCATGGTGAATAAGCCCTTGGACCACATATTCGCCAAGCTGGACGAAGGCTGGGACATCGTCGCGTACAGCGACGGCGACGGCGTCACGGGGGAGTGCGATAAGGGCGGCCAGTTCTCGTCGAACTTCCTCGCTGCGCGGAAAGGGGACCCGTTCACCGCGACCTGGTGGGAGAACATGAAGCACAAGCTGACCCGCACGTGTGGGGAGCTCGAGATGGACGTGGAGAAGGTGTGCTGCCACGAGGCCTTCGACCCCAGCTCGGAGAAGAAGCCCTGCCACATCCCCTGGGGCCACCTGGAGTGGCTGAAGCAGCCCGTGCACGACTCCGACTCGAAAGGCCCCCCCTCGGTGGACCCGACGAACCACAACCGCCGTGCGGGCTCGAGCAGCCTCAGGACCGGGGCCGAGGCGGAGAAGATCCGTGCGGCCGTGGCGCGCGGCAACGAGCCGGCGAGGCAGCTGCCCGAGTCGGTGAAGCTCTGGTGCCTGCGCGGCCCCGACAGCATGACGCCACACCTGAACGGAGAGGTTCGAGGGGCGGAAAGAGAGCACGAGCACGATGCTCCGCAGGTCCGCGCGCGTCTCTCGGCTCGGTGCTGGCCCGCCCACCCCCGGCGGTGGCCTCCAGCGCCGCCCCTGGCGCGCCACGGTGCTGTCCCATGAGGTCCATGCTGGCCCCCGAGGGTTTGCCAGGGAATCGGGTGCACACGACGCGGCCGGCCTGGGCGAGAGTTGGTTGAGCGTATGGCCTCGCGTCTTCCCAGCGCCCGGCCCTTCTGCGGCCGCGTAACTGCTGGGCCTCCGCACGTGTAGCCAGCGCTCGGCCTCCGGATGTGCCGTGGGTCAGCCCAGCCGCGTGTGTTGCCAGCTTCCTTCACGAGTATGCCCTGCTGCAGGGTGGCGCTTGAGAAATGCATTGGGGGGCTCGTCGTGCAGCAGCGCCTTGAGCGCTGATTCATAGACTGCGTTCCATGCCCTTTCGTGGGCGTCGTGGTCGTTGAGATTCTTCGGTCGTCCTTTTTGTCCAACCGCCTCCTCAGCGACAGTCTCGGCCTTCTAGATGGGGTCCCAGTAGATGGGGTCGGAGGATCGCGCCGCATCGCCGATGCATCGACGATGTGGCTCGATGTGGAGCCCGTGTTTCCTTTTGCCGACGTCGCCGATGCATCGCCGACATCGCCGATGCATCGCCGATGCACCGCCGATGCATCGGCGATGCATTGGCGATGCGGCGCGATCCTCCGACCCCCATCTGGGAGGCTCCTAGACAGAGAATCCATTGATCTGCGCTGGGCCCTCCACGGCGGCGCCTCCGGCACCGCCCCAGGCGCGCTCCGCGTGCCAGGGAGTGGGGCCCAGCGCAGATCCGAGGAATCCGCGCGGACCGTAGAAAGCTCATGTTTATGTCGTCTTGTTTTCCTTTTCTTTCTCCACTGGAAATATAGAAACACTTCGAGGGAAACATAGGAAAATATGGGAAGTGTGGGGGACGGCGAGCATTCAGAAAATATGGCAAAATATACGGAATCCTGGTATATGTGTCTATTCATTCTCTTGCACAGGGTGCCTAGAGCTCCGACCCTCTCATTCTCTTGCACAGGGTGTCTAGAGCTCCGACCACTTTATTTCGGCACGGCCCCCCCTCCATCACCCACACAAGCTCCACCAGCCAGCGCGCCTCTCCGCCCCGACCCCTTTATTCCGGCACGGCACACCCTCCGCCCCGACCTCTTCAAATTCGGCTCGGCACACCCCCTCCACACCCCCTCCGCATCCCCCACCCACCAGCCAGCGCGCCCCTCCGCCCCGACCCCTTTATTTCGGAACGGAACACCCCTCCACCCCGACACCTTTATTACGGCACGGCGCACCGCCTCCGCATCCCCCCACGCACCAGCCAGCGCAACCCTCCGCCCCGCGACCTCTTTGATTTCGGCACGGCGCACTCCTCCGCCCCGACCCCTTCATTTCGGCACGGGACACCCGCTCCGCGTCCCCCCCCACCCACCAGCCAGCGCGCCCCTCCGTCCCGACCCCTTTATTTCGGCACGGCACACCCCTCCGCCCCGCGACCTCTTTATTTCGGCACGGCACACCCCCTCCGCATCCCCCCACCCACCAGCCAGCGCCCCTCCGCCCAACCATTTGTATTTCGGCACGGCCCGCCCGGCCCCCTCT